ACGGGACAAAAATAGATGGCGGAAATACGTCATCTGTATTTGTGTCAATCACAGAGATGTGCAAGGTGCTCGCTGCAGTTTCATGTGATAACTTGGCCCGACCAGCAAGCAGACCCTTTCATGGATCCTGGAGACGAGGGAGAAGCTGCTATGGCATTGTGCTGCCTGCAATGATGCCTATTCTCCAAGCAAGCAAGTAAGTAGTATAGTGGATGTAAGTTCGATTCCTCAGAGGTGACGGCATTATATCGTATCAATATCTCCGTCTCCCTGCTAAGGGTGCTGTGTTACTCTCAGCCCTGATTGTGAGAGCTGAAGAAGTCCGTCTTCAGAAAGATCTAAGATTGTGCCCATGAGGGTGTCAAACATTTACAATCATGTACTGGTGTACGTTCCGTTTGACACAAAAAAGAGGTCGAGTAGAGTAAACGAGACACACATTGACACAGTTTCTGCAAACAGCTCAGGAAAAGAGAATGACGAACGGAGAGAAAGAAGTGAAGTAGGACTTGTAGACAAACAGAAAGAAAGAAATGAGGGATGATTAAAAAGTAGGAGTTACCAAAGGCACCCTCAAATAACCTGTCAGATGGAGTGGCCACACGAAATATACAAAATGGCCAGAATGTGTCTTTGACGCCACCTTTTAATGGGGGAAAGAGGAAATAGTAATATCTGATTGAAGAAGTACAATTTTAAGACCTAGTGAACAGCTGGAACTGGAACCCAAGACAAAATTGATATTGCTTTGGTTATCAAACGTCTGTAAATAAAACTCGAAAACGCCCCGTTCTCAGACTCATGTACATTAAACAAATAATAATACCTTAAGTTACATGCAATATAATAATATAACTAAAATTTCTGTTTCCAAAAGTGAAATCTGATTCATATGGAAAAGAGGAAGTTAAATGATAAAGAGCTACAGCAATTATTTCTCAACTCCCAAACCATTCATCAGGAGTAGCAATTCTTCTGCGGCCGGGTCGGAGACTTCAGCTGAAAATTGAGTCAAAATATCCGTTTTTGAGGTTTTTGCACCAGTGAATACCTGAATGTGTCTGGGTATCAAATCCGGTATATTATTATTTTGCTGAGATAAGCATGCTGTATGTGAAATTTGGTTTCATATGGCTCTAATAGTATCACTTTAGGTCTTTTTGACTTTAATGACCATTTTCCCTGCAGTGTGTTTTTCATGGATAGCATGCCACAAAAATCCTAAAATCTCGCTTACTTATTGCGCTATAGACTTGGAATTTGGCTCAGTGATAGCTTATCCTTATGTCTAGGTAATGAGTTAGTTATTTTAATCTTTCTTTGTATACGACTGGGGGCATGAGCATTTATATTAGGTTGGGAGTGTATTTTCAACACTTTTTTACATCATGAAATTTAAAGTCATGCTACATCCATGAAAACAACCAAATAAAACAATCGTCGCCTTATTCCCTCAATATAGGTCCTGTCTTTCCATTCCTTTCTTGGAAAGAAGAATATCTTGATAAGTGTTTGAGCTATTAGGAATTTAAGATTTGTGTTTATTTTCAAGATGGCTGCCATCACAATGATAATGAGGGATATATGTCATGAATAACACCCCAAATCATTTCGCACCTTGGCATTGAGTCTTTCTTTGCTAAATTCATTTATTAAGGTCAGTGAATAAAAACTTGTTTAGCTCACCAGACCCCCTCCCCCCCCCCCGCCTTTTAATTAACAATGCATAAATGACTCGTCGATGACCATGCAATGAACAAAACAATAATTAAAAGTTTATATAAGTAAACAATCATAATTCTACTATTGCTTCAAACCAAAGGGTGACAGTTCAACTCACAGACAGATACAGAAAGAAAAAATCATAATACTAAGATGTTTCTATATCGCTGATACAAACAGAAATCCCATTCACAAATGAAAAGAACAAAGCAGGCATTCAGTGTTAAAACAGATTTTTACTGTTTTGGTAACTTGCTTAGGATTTAAAATGAAGAAATGTACAGGAAACTAGTCGAGTACAATGGCACCATTTATTAACATTAAATACGAGTTAAGAACAGGAGTGTATATATTTACCTCAACATAACAGAAGTTTGTAAGAACTAACAGCATACTTGTAACACGCCGCTGACATTTGTGAAGTAGCCTGGACAATAGACATACCTCAACAAACCTGTAAGAGCATAACCTGATGCAGTCTACAATGCAGGCCGTGGAACTAATCCATATACACCGAACATTTCTTCATGTCTTCAAGCAGAATAACTTATCAGTCTATAAAAGAAACCGTCACAAATTTTCATTGAATCGTAAGATACAAGCAGACATTTTATCATGTATACATACATTCCGGATAAAACTTGCAGGACTGAACAAAATATCAACATTTTCTGCATCCAAGAAACGCTCCGTAATTTGGCGTTACAAGGTTTACTGAGACTGAACGTGGTAATTGCTAATGGAGCTGTTGTAGCGGTCTTTGTTCATTTGGAAGACAAACTCATAGGGGTAGGGCAGAGGTCGCTGAGACACGTCGTCAAGTTGTTGCATCTGGGGGGTAGAAAATCCAGGACAAATAATAATAATAATGATAATGATAACAATAATAATAATAATTTACAAAAATAAAATAATAATAATAATAATAATAATAATAATAATAATAATAATAATAATAATAATAATAATATAATAGATAGCATTTGTATAGCGCAAATCCCCGCTAAACAGCAAGCTCTATGCGTTTCACAAACTATACTATTACCCCAGTAGACTTGAGAGCTTTCTGAAACAACCTCAACTTCCTGGGAAGCATACAGCGCAAGCAGCAATTTATAGGAGCTAAAACACTAACATACTGACAAGTTCTTTCGCTGTCTATGGCCGGGTACCCATTCACACCTGGATGAAATGAGGAAAATTTGTGTAAAGTGCCTTTCCCAAGGACACAACGTCGGGCACGCGGCTCGAACACCAGAACCGGCGACCTCACGATTACGAGTCCAGTAGCCTAACCACTAGGCCACCGACGCCACTAATACGCTTTCACTGTGGAGAGATGTACGGGTTGGGTTTCTTTTTTGATGTTTTAGTAAGAGATCTACTTCACATGCATCACAAATAGTTTATATCGTGTCGAAGATTGGTGATGTTACTAGAGAGTAAGGTACATAGAACAGAAGGAGGACAGATAACGATGATAGATGTTTAATTTTTTTAAAGGTGCAAACCACACCCGAGCACCAGCTTAAAATCAACACAGATATATAAGTAATTGTTATAGCAAACGTTTCCTAAAATTCTAACGCCCTTTACGGACATAAAACAGGTCATACTGAAGGTCAGTTCTCAAGTGCCTTGCCAACGTAAAGAACTGAGAATGAGTGGGACAAAAATGATTTTTTTAAAATATTTGGAACCCGAGCCTGATTTGTACTTTGCGTTTGTCCGTGTTGACCAAGTTACTTAAATTTTTTTTTTAATGTCGGCATTTTTTGCACCCCCATCGACTCAATTCAAGCCATTTATGAGGCGCGGTTCTGGCCCTGCCTGTCAAGATCAACCCAGGCTGAGAGGGATACAGCATCCAAGCAGAAAGACCACCGTGATACCCAACACTCGATAAAAATGTTACCCCACTCGGGAATCGACCTCTTGTCTACTGCGTGCGATAGCATACCACCTAACCGCGACACAACAGATGCCGTTGCTTTAGTGTGTAGACCTAGACAAAGTAAAGCTCGTTTCATCCCATTAACTTGAAAAGAATACCACAGTGTATTCAACTCTTCTTTAGACAAAGTTATTATTATTTTTTGGGGTTAAGTGTTTTACGGCGCTCGCAACTCCATACGGTCATATGAGCGCGTGGGGCACATTAAACTTTTACAGTTCATAGGAAATTTTGAATTTTGCCCGGGTGGCGGCCGAAGCATACTCTTATCGATTTTAGACCATCAAGGGATCTTTCAAGCGCGCAACTTGCGCACGGGACTCCGAGATTTTTCAGCCTTGTCCGAGAAGGTGAGTTGTAGATCTTTCCTACCAGAAGATAAGGGTGGATGAAAGACAGCAGTAAGAAGGAGCCAAGGAGTAGCAGTAGAAAGGCTGCAGAAAGAGCCAGGAGTCCTGAGGAGGGAGACAAAGGATGTGAGGGGGTGGGGGCAGAAAGAGGAGACGAAAGCAGACGACAGAACATTGTGAGAGAGCATGAAAGAAGATGAAAGAAGACAATTTTAGAGAAAAAAATGTTCGGTCGCTAACCGGATTCGAACCCGTGACCTTTGAATGAGAGACCAACACCTTAACCTCTAGGCTATAAGAGCCCCCAGACAATGTTAAGAGTTTTAAGATACAAGTGTTTACTTTCGTTGGTTTGAAAAAGAAAACCACAGTGTACCCAACTCTTCTTCAGACGAAGTAAACCGTTTCAAAATACACGCTTTATGATGCCTTTATCATTTAGACGGCAGTATTTCAAAATACATGTTTCATCTTATTGACTTGAAAAGAAAACCACAGCGTACTCACCTCTTCTTGAGACAAAGCCCAACCGTTGGCAGCGCCCATGTTGTCATCCAGTTGTTGCAGAGTTCGAGCTCCGATGATCACTGACGTCACCACATCTTTTTGAAGCAGCCAGCGGAGAGCAACCTGGGGCATGCTGCGACCTGGGGATACAACGGGAGGTATAATTGTGTCACATGACCACAGAACTGATGGAGAGAAAGAGAGAGAGAGAGAGAGAGAGAGAGAGAGAGAACATAACGGGAGGTATAATTATGTCAACAGAAATGATGGAGAGAGGGAACATAACTGGAGGTATAGTTGTGTTGTGAGAACATAAATTACGTTGTGTCTATTTGTTTGAGTAAAGAGAAGTATGAAGGGCATCGACACAACAATGACCACATAGTACTGGAGAAAAGTAAGAGCGATAGACAGAAACAACCGAGGGACAGGAAAGAAGTAAGACCCACCAGTGGCGCCCTCCAACCACCCACAACAAAATTGATGGAGAGATAAGAACATAACCAGAGCCATCAAGCCAAGGAGCAACAGAACTGACGTAGATCTACTTGATAGAAGATGATATGGATCTACTTGATGTTGCATGTGAATGTGTG